TTGTTAAAAATATTTGAGCCAAAATTTCCTTTGCCCTGATTTGGTTGATATTCTCTCATAAAAAAAAGCATTTTAGAACGCTAAACATATACATATGTATGATCCTATTTTAGAACACTAAACAAACACATATGTATGATCCAATTTATTTTATTTACATAATGCACTATTTTTTAAGATAAAACCTATAGAGGGGCCTAAACGTTAATAAAATAAAAAAGGTGCAAATGCTCACAGAGCTACAATCAAAGCACCGAAAATACTACTAAGATAACATTTTGGATAACGTTTCATAATATCCAGTTCCACCAACACATTAGAAACTAACAGATGAGAGCCAATTGAAGTGGTGGTATCAATACGAAGGGGATGACCAAAAAGTGAGCCAAGCCTGTATAAGATATGAGGAGCAAACAAATGTGAGTGAAGATTCAAGAAGGAAACCCAAATCTGAACAATGGACATTTCTTTATTAATATTGAAAATGGGTGACCTATTGGTTAATTTTATGAAAAGTTACTAATAAAGTTGGATTAGTGCACAAAAGGTTGACTATAATCTATATCACTACTCATTTTTTTCGAGACAAGCTGAAAATCAAACAGAGTAACTGAAAACTCTCCAGAAAGTTATAAGTTAAAAAAGAATTTTTTTGATCAAATCTAAAGGTGGCCTTTGATTAGGAAACTTTCCTACCAAAGAGAACTTAAAAGGAGCAGCAAGAGGCACAACTACTTTTTTTGAGATCCAAAGCGATGTGAACCAGTGAAAAGTTGATGTTTTAAGATATGAAAAATGGTACTAAAGATAAAGCCCCTAAAAGGGCATCAAGAAAAAATCTAGACATTGATTTCCTGTTCAAAAATCAAGGATTAACTAACCTCACATGATTAAACACCATTCAACCAAAGGCCGAGCAATCAAGGAGATGGAGCAATTCGAGAAGAATGAAAAAAAAAGGGATAGGAAAAGAGATCAAACATAAATGATGGAAGAAACTTCCCAGAGTGGGAGAGGCATCCGACGACCAGAAGACAAAACCCCTCCGACGAGGGGAGACAGTTAGGGCAAAAACCTAGTAGTGCTCATGCAACTTATCTGCATTATTCACTTATCACTTACATTTGACATGCGTAAGATCATGCAATCATTGAACCTAAACCCTAAATGTCTCATTAGGCTCCACCAATGATGATCTTACATGAAAAAGTGCATGTGAAAAGCCAATGCCAATCATCAAATTTTAAATTCATGATATGCTCAAATGTAAGAAAGAAGAGAACTAAACTATGATTAGGCCGAACAATCAAGTTTAAGGCTTGAACTGGTCGACATACACACCAATCTTCAAAGAATGCTGCTAATAAATGTGGATGCATGGAATAGGCTATGATAATAAAAAAAAAAGGAATTAAAGGGCTTTGTTGGGATTTTTTTACGACATAGAGGCCAATTAAGGAAAATTTATACACACATCACATACACAAATTTTGAACTCAAAACTTCTTGGTTGATAGCCAAAGCTCCCAACCAACACATCAACATGAGTTGCATCTTTGTCAGGATGTTCTACGGGATGCTTTAATTTAAGAAGTAGATGTTAGGTTGTAAGATATTTGCTCAGCTATGGTCAATATCCTAAGAAATGTTGTAGAGTTGCTTATGATAGGGGAGAGATAATTATTGTGTTAGACGTTGTCAGTGTAGTTGAAGCTACAAGAAGAGGAGCTAGACATCAATTCAGGCAACTTATGAGGTCGAGTGAAGATTCTGGACAAGCAAGGTTATGAACACATGGGTTGAAGGTGAGAGAGAATAAGGCTATCATGAGCTAACAAAAGGAGGTTTGCTCAGCCCAAAATGTGGTAGAGATATGGACTCGAGGGAAGTTTCAACAAATTTATTTTTTTATATATGTCAGTTGCATGCATTGTTAGGAGTTTGTATTGGAATTATGATTGTTCCATTATTAGTGTTGATATTAAGAAAATTTAGGATCAAAACATTAGGAAAAATTATTTCATATACCAATGTCAAGATACAATCCATTTTTTATCATCATATAATTATTAAATTAATTAATTGAAATGGAAATGCATTTGAAAGTCTACCATGAAAATTGTTGAATGAGGGTGGAACAGCTCTGTTGTTGGAGTAGACAATCACTCGAGGAGAAGGGGTGGTCGGTTGTTGTGAATGGAAGGGGGAAAAGCAGCACAAGCTAGTCGGGCACATGCAAACTGGCAGGATGTGGACTGGCAGAAGGCTAGGAGGGCAGGAGCAGGGGTCTCGTGTTGGGTATGATTCTACGATGTTGGAGAAGGTCATGTGGAGCTCATGTGGGAGAAGGCATGGTGCACGACGTCTGGATGACTTCTGGAGCGAAGGAGATGGAGGTTGTCGTGTGCAAGCTATTTCATGTGGGCAAGTATGTTCAAATGGGAATGCATGCAGTAGGCAGAGGGAGCACATGATCGGGAGTCCGGTGGGGTAGTGCGGGCTTGGCATGCAGGAGTGTGATATGCCAATGTACCGCAACGGTCATGGGTAGGCTAGAGTCAGTTAAGGCGTGGGAGCAGGGGCAGTTGCCTAAGTGGAAGCTGGCAGACCAGGCTTCTTCATGCGAGTAGATGGGTGGAAGGAGCAGAGTGAGACGGAACCCCAAAGGCTATAGTAGATCCTCCAAATGCCTTATCTGTTTTTTTTTTCTTCTTATTTGAAATTTAGAAGTCACCCCTCCGGATTCGGTTGCCCAAAACAATCCCCCTCTAGCACGGCTAAGTGGCATGCATGCACCCAATCAACCTGCTAAAAATAGTCGCTATTGTGTTAGAGGAAAAGAATATCGATTCTACCCATATTCTAATCAAATCCAAAGATTTGTATTTAATTCATTAAATTTAGCTGATATGGATGCATGATACAACATTAAAAAATTAAATTAATGAATTAGAATGTATTTTGGGCTTAATATGATTTAATTAAGTTCAAAATATTTCAAGACGAGTTAATTTTGTGTCGAAAAAATTCGATTCAATTTTCTTTTCATTAAATTGAATTTTGGATAGGTTAATTTAGCTTGAATGAGTTTTGTTTTAAAATGAAATTTGAGGACTACAAGTTGCTTTTAAATTATCTCGAATTGAAATAATGTGGATTGAGATTGATTTTGGATGAAGAGATAAATTTTGAAATGAGTTTGAGGTTGATTTGATTGATTTAGTATGAATGGACCTACATTGACCATTTTGGCATTAAATTAATGAGTTTTCTCTTAAATTGGTTTTAAGGTTGTTCAATTTGATTTTGATTGATTCGATGTGCGTTAATTTAGGCTGATCGAAGTCATCAAGGTCGAATTGAACATCAAGTTGAAATAACTCGACATGGATCGATTGAATATAATTTAGACTAATTTGGCATCCATTAGTTCTAAGTCAAGTTAATGGAATTTGATTTTATGTAAACGTATTCGATTGGAATTAAATCATTACAATCGAGGCTGAGTCAACACAATGTCATCGGGCATCCATAAAGGAAATCATAGAGGTGATTGCTAAACTAAGTTAAGAGGGTATAACTTCTAGGAGAATCCTAGGAGAAGATAAGATGCCTACCTCACCAAAAGTGAGGTCAACAGTAAATGATTAAACGAAGATCGTGATCATGATAGGACACACATGATCGAACAAATATAATGATCGTGGCATGATGTGTGATTACACTAAGATTGTGATTGTGGTGAGCCACGAATAATCAAATATAGATCAAGACTATGGAGAGATGTGTAATGGAATAATGATTGAGATCCTTAAAAGATATGTATGATCAAATGAAGAACATGATCATGACTTTTCAAGTTTAATGAAACTCAATAAATTCTCTCATCGTCAAGGTTGATTTAATATTTAATATCCCATTGATATCCATAATCACAATCGAGAATTTTTTCTGCTCATTCAAGAAATTAAATTTTATTTTATTTAAATTTACTCATACTTTAGCACATACAAATTGTGTCATATATATTTATAGAAGATCATTATCTCTTCTAATGGTTGTTATTGCTATTTATGGGCGTACAAAATCTCTGGCTTTAAAATTTTATTTTTATTTTTTTCAAATTTTATTGATTACTTTCTAATAAAGGCAATATACCTATATGCACCATACATTCATTATTTTATTTTAATAATTTTCCTATCAATTAATTGGCAGTGATGACTACTTACCTTATTTTTTAATTTCATTATTCCTTCCATCAATCACACAATGATGATGTCTCGTTAGAGGAAACAAGATATGCAGTGGGATCTCTTTTAATAAGAATTAGTGAGTGGTTTGCATATTACTAAACTAAGAAAAATTCATGTCCTACATGATATATATTTTTATTATATGAACTAAATTTATTAGAAATTTTATTAATTTATAATATTATTAAAAACAAACTATTTCCAACCTAATGAAAGAGCCATTAAGACACCAAATTCATTTTGTAAAATGAAATAATATAACTATTTTAAATAAATACCAAGGTCTACGGTAAAACATATACAAAATATGTTTTCTCATCTTTCACTCATTTATATATTTAAGAATAATCATTTGGAGACCTCTTAAAACAAAGCCAATTTTTGACACAAATAGTCTAGTTAGATCTCTTAATCAGCATGCAATAAAAGATAAATTTAATTTTAAAAATAAATATAAAATTTTAAATGATAAATTTAATGTTTACAACTTGAATTTTGTGCCCTATATTTTTATGGATAAAGCCAACTTGCCAATTTAATTAACCACATATGAGCCACAAATGAGAAGAAAATTTAATGCACTTGAATATTTTCCACAAATACTTATTCTATTCCACATATTTATATCTCTAACAAAGATTGCATATTTGATTCCAACTCTTATTATTTTTTGTCAAAGCGTTGTAGTGTTGGAAGGTGTCGTAGCTCATTTCCTCCACTGGCCACCCTAAAAACAATAATATTATGGCATGGTCTAATCTCCCCATAGATCTCCTATGTTTCATCTCATCGCACTTGACCATTGTAGACTTAATCCGATTATCTGTTGTCTGCACCTCATGGAGTTTCACTCTTACCAACTATGCACTCCTTGGATTTCAATGTTGTCCCTCCCCATGGTTGCTCCTTTCTAATGATTCCGAGGAGGCTTCCGACATACTCACCTTCCGCGAACTTTCCATAGCAAGAGAAGTAGCTGTCCTCAGCTTCCATCGTTGCTTCTCCTCCATTGGTAGCTTCACATGTGGCCGCCGTTGTTTTGGCTCCAAGGATGGATGGCTTGTGACCCTTGACAAAATGGATCTACAACCTCGCCTCTTCAATCCTATCACAAAGGCCGAAATATCACTCCCATCCCTTTCCACCTTGATCGAGCCACAATATGCCCTTGACGGTTCCATCAGGATTCCTTACAATCAAATTTTCTTGGACTTTTCAACTGATGACTTACGTGATATATATTTTCATAAGATCATTGTCTCCTCAAATGACTCCTCTAGAACTGTTGTTGTTATCTTTGGCATTACAAAAGCGCTTGCTTTGGCAAGGCCAGAAGATCTTACTTGGGTTCTCGGGCCACAACTATCTCTTTATAATATCGAGGACGAGGAGCAGTTTGAGGATGTTTACTATCATGAAGAAAATCAAAGATTTTATGCAATCACAAATTTTTCTATGGTTCTTTCTTTTGACCTCAATGGACAAAATGTTGAATTAATATGCCCGAATATGCCCAACCCTTATTATCACACCAGAAATGTTGAATGTATGTATTATATTGCCTTTTTGTCAGGAACTCTTCTAAAAATAGAGAGGGTGGTTGATATTACTCTTCATAGTCACCATTACGCAAAGACGATGAATATCTCTGTTTTCAAGTTTGAGCCAGCTATTATTTCTTCTACTTCTTCTTCTTCTTCTTCATACTCTCAATGGATCCCAATCAACGAGCTGGAGAAATACTCCTTTTTTGTGGGTTGTAATCAGACATTTTCTTTGAATCACACAGTTGCTACAGGAATTATACCAAACTGCATATATTTCGCCGATCATTCGAGCAACATGTTTCCATGTGATGCTGATTGTGATGTTGGAGTTTGTGATGTTTACAATGATCGCATTCAATATATCCTTCACCCTTATTCACGAACTAATTGGCCACCATCATTATGGTTTACACCATCACTTTTATAAATTGAATATCTTAATATTTGCTAAGCATGTAATATGAATATTTTTGGATTATAAGTCTATTTTGAATATTTATTGGACAATTTATTAGGTAATATTGAGTAGTTTTTTTATTTATTTATCTGCTTACCTTTTTTATATTTGTTTTGAAGAAAAGATACTAATAATGTTAGATCACAATTGAGTCTTTTTATGATATTGTGTTAGCAAGTAGAATCTGCTTCTTTTTTGACGTAAAGAATGCTTTGGAGTATATTACATAAAAAACAACTACGGAAATGAAAAAAAGATGTTTATATGAAAAGAATGAGAGAAATTGTTCCCAAAATTATATATACTCATAAATCTAAAGCCTTGAAACTTTTTTAGAAAATGTCTTGTATGAGGAAATACATAAACAAATCTTTATAAGGCAATATTAATATATTTTAGCTCAACTATTATTTTAAAAGCAAACAAGGATTTCAATGAAAAAAAGATTTAGTGAAAAAAATCTGTCATTGTCAACTCCTTTGCATGAAGCATATGTATATTTTGCATTTAATTAAAGAAAATTTTGAATTTTAAAAAATTAACAAGTCACTATTGTATCACTTAATGTAGATTAAAATTGAAAAAATTCATGAATGGTTCAATGTTCTAAGAAATGGTTCTATTACTCAAGCAAATCAAATATATATCTATAAAGAAATAAATAAGATTTGATCCCCTTATATAGTTTAGATGCATCATTCCTATCTAATTAAAAGTGTACACTTTTTATGGTGATATTTTGATGAGAAAATTATAGTAGTCTTTTTTTATATATATATAGTTTTTTTTTATATATATAATTATATATAATGCCCGAGTGTCATCATCATATCATGATGGACCAACATCATTTGACAATTATCATCGAAACATTGACGTCGGACACTCATCTTTTAATTATCATAGCTTGTTCACCATCATTTGACAATTACCGTCTTATTTTTGTTAATTGACCACCAACTCCTAATTATGATCCAACCACCTTTGCTAAAATGGCATCATTTGTTGTCGCCATCATATCTTCATTTCTTTCACAATACCTACGACTATAAGAGACCACATAAATATTCCTTTGTAATATCATCTTCTCCTATTGTGAGTAAGAGCTATCTTCTTTAAGTACATAATAGATTTTCTCAACAAAGTAATGACCTACATTATTATTCCTATCTAGATTTTTCACGTAGAAAGTCTATGTCTCCAATATTTTTCCCTTTTATTTTCATGTCATGAATCTTTGCATAATGCTATGGCAATAATCCCTTAGTCTGCCACCACAAAATTTCAAGCACACAATAGGTCAGGTCAATAGGTAAATTTAACTTATATATAGTCATGTTTGTTGAAAAGGAAGCTTTGCTTTAGAATGGGTGCAAAGCAAATTTGAATTAAATTTCTTTGAAAAACTTAAAAATTGATTTTTGAATTTTAATTTTGTTATTGAACATACCTTCAGAAATAATATACTACCTCATGTGGTGGAAATAAGATTTTGTAATAGGGTTCGGATTTAGAATTGCAAATTTGATCCTGAATATTGTAGCCAAATTCATGGACGAATTATATATAATCCCGAAAAGCCAAAATTATATTCGATCAAATATTCAGCTACGATAATCTAGATGTGCTATATATAATTTCATATTCAAGGTCATAACAACAAGTGATATATCTTCCCAAAGGAAAAAAAAATCATTCCCTGTTAATTATTCGAATATGACGATGATAATCATCATTGATTTTAATTTTTTTCCAAATAAAATTAATTGAATTTCAAAATTGATCCAGTGTCTTTAAATCTCTTTCGAAAGTAAGCTCTCGTAATTATTTACATCATAGAAAAGTTGAGTTCTCAGCATATACTAATAATTAAAATATTTGTATAAATTTTACTTTGAGATTTTAAAGGAGTGATATCAAGTGAAGTTTGAATTTCAATTAGGTTTAGATCAAACTTGATCACTTATATCTGGAGGTTAATGGAGGTGGAGGAGGAGGCATTTTTATATTTTGAAATGATTCAGAAATGCCTCAGCCTATCTTATGTGTTGGGCTTTAAATTTTCATTTTGAGAAAATTTTAATTTGAGTTGTCAATTTATTAGAAAGTTGGGATTATATTCCCGAAGTTGGAGCTTATGATTTTGAGTTTGCCAAGGATCCTTAGTCTACTTTGGGCACTAAACAATTTTAGTATGGACCTAGCTAATGTAGTGCAAATCTAAACTTATACTAACCTAGATTGGGGAGCCAGCTAACCACACACATGCACTTTAAAACTATGTATCTTGTCTTTTTATGAAAGATGGGTGGGGACGTTGTTATTTAAGTTATGAGGAAATGGGGCTCACATCTAGAGCAGATCGTAATTGGTCGCTTGACTCATATGAGAAAATCCAATTAAAATTTTTAACTCTTTGATTTGTTTCTAATGCAATGCAATGCATGTTAATTAATCTTTAAATACATAAATAGATACAAAGAAATTTTAAAAAAGACTTTAAATTATTTTTTTTATCTCTTGAGATTGCACAACAACCCCTTGACAGAACTACACACTAATAAGCCATGTGGTCTACTAGAACCTAGGCTTTGGTAGTGGGATGTTTAATAATAAAGAGAAGATTCAAAATATATGCATGAAAACCCTCGATGAACTTGAGATTACTTCTTAGAATCGATTATATTTTTATGTGAGCCTAATAATTTTTGTTTCAATTGAGTGGAAAAAGTTTTTTTTAGCGTGCATGCCCTCATGAGTGATGCGGAGCATATTAACTTAGAGTGGTTGGAGAAACAGCTTATTGCCACTTTGGTTACTTTAGTTAGTTAGAGCCACATTCTATTACTGTTGTTATTACTGGTATAAGATTACTTGAGTAAGTTTTATTATTTTATCCCTTATAGCATTCTCTGAGTTGGTGAGGAATTATTTCAGTTGCAAGGAGCTGCTGAAGGTCTTCAATTAATATTTTGATATTTTCATTTCCATAGTTTCTAATAGTCACAGTTATTGTTTCGCTTGAGTTTATTTACCGTAAGATCCCTACTTCAGTAATTGATATCAAAGCTAGATGGCCGAAAGCAGCAGGCGGGTGGCTCCCGGGGAAGAAAACAAACTTGAAACTCTATGGATGGAGCATGACAGTTTGGAGCAGTGGAAAGAAGACTTATCCATATAATTGAATCAATTATATGGTGAAATTCATCAGGAGTTAAGGGAAATAAATGTTGTTTGCATGGGCAGGAACCTGTTTGCACGGATGGTACCGTCAGCTACAATACTAACGGTGAGATGGGTGATGGAAACTAAATGACTCAGGGACCTCATATTATTGAAGCTTTGAATTCAAATGAGGAATTTGACCGACCCAGAAACTTTGAAATATTTGATTCAGAGGATGAAGTGATTAACCATCGCAGAAGGCAACCAAGAGAAGTTGACCGTCTTCACAATGATTTTCGAGCTAAGTTTGATATAACATACTTTGATGGTAAATTAGACATGGAAGACTAATTGGATTGGGAGAGATCAGTTGAAACATTCTTCAAATATATGGAGATTGATCTTTAAGAGAAAGTTAAGTATGTTGCCTGTCGGCTCAAAGAGGGAGGTAGTGCGTGGTGGCAGCAAGTGCTCCAAGTTTGATCGAGAGAAGGACATGGTCACGTACAAAGCTAACATGGAATGAAGCAGCTGTTGCGAGGACACTATCTCCTGACCAACTAGAAACAATTGTTGTATTTGCAATATCAACATTACAGCCAAGGCAATATATCCATCAATGATTATACCAAAGAATTGTATCGTTTATGTTATAGAAATAACTTAAATGAATATGCTAATAATTTGGTACCATGTATATTGGTAGGTTAAAAGAGGTGAACCAAGATAAATTGGAGTTAAATTTTGTATGGTCCTTATCCCAAGCAATTAACTTGGCATTAAAGGTGGAAATGCAATTAATGCGGCATAACATAGGGTACCAAAGCAGGCATATAACATTGGAACAAGCAAGTGAAAACATTAGATTATCAAATTCTATTACACCTCAAACTAGTAAATAACCAATTACAATTATTCGAGCTACCAGACAGAATACTGAAGTTAATAGAGTTGTGGATTCAAGAGTTGGGCCAAAAGGAAAAATTGCTATCTGAGAAAATCCTTATGCCAAACCTACTAATATTAAGTGTTATCGATGTTTTCAATAGGGACATAAGACAAATGAGTTCCCATCAAGACCTC